CCAATGTCATCAACCGATTCTCATCAACCAATTGTCACCAACCAATTGCCATCCACCAAAGAGCTACCCACCAATTGTTACCAACCAATTGTCACCAACTAATTGTCACCAGGGGGTGGGATGTACGCCCTGACGCTGGCTGGCACTGCTGGGTCTCTGCCGCTGTTCCACTGTGATTTGCGTGCAAGGTGTTCAAAAGCACTGTGTTTTACAGGGTTTTGTGGGCGTGGAAGATCCACAATTTGGACAGTGGCGAAATGCAAAAACCGTTGGTTTTACTAGCGTCGTGTCGGTAATGCGCGCCGCCCGGACGTGCATAATCGGATTCTTTTTTTGTGATGTGCCCGTGTCAACGCAAATGGCGCAAAATGTACCCCAAGATGACCCAACAGAGGCCCCCAAGATAGGTCCAAGAGGTGTTAACATAGCCCCAAGATGGCCTAACATAGGCCCAAGATGGCCCAACATAGGCCCAAGAGGGGCCCAACATAGGGGCAGAGGGCACAACATAGGGTGAAGATGGGCCAACATTGGGCCCAAGATGGGCCAACAACAACAACAACAACAAGAACTGGTGGGTGGCAATTGGTTGGCGTGACAATTGATTGATGACAATTGGTTGAGGACCATACTTTTTTCTATAAAACAGGCCCTCAAAAATAACCATTTCAGAAGGGCAGAGATCTACCAACCAGTTGTCACCAACCAACTGCCACCAACCAGTTGCCACCCACAATCAATTGCCACCCACCAATTGCTACCAACCAATTGCTACCAACTAATTGCCACAAACCAACTGTCACCAACCAATTGCTACCAACCAATTGTCACCAACTAATTGTATTGCCACCCACCAATTGCCACCAACAAACTGCCACCAACCAATTGCCACCAACCAATTGCCACCAACCCATTGCCACCAGGAAATTGCCACCAACCAATTGCCACCAACAACTTCCACCCACAAACTGCCACCAACCAACTGCCACCAACAAACTGCCACCAACAAACTGCCACCAACCAATTGTCACCCACTAACCACCAATTGTCCGCTCCTGTGTCTGGTGAAGTTGTGAACATGTGGGGTTATCCGGTCCTAGAATTTACTTGTCTATTTTTTTGGCTTGGCTTAGAGTAGAGGCAGCCACTTGGTGTGTCCATGCAAACCCTAGAGTCCCTAGAGTTAGCCTTTTGGGAGCTTCACTAGATGGAGCGCGCTTTCTAGAATCGATGGCTAGCACTTTGTAGCAGGCCATAGAACTAGCCAGTTGTGCGGTTATCCAGTTTGCCATGATGAAAAGCGTGCGCGATATGTCTCGCTCAAGCCAGCCCAAATTAGTACTGACTTGATACTCATATCATCGATCATGCCTTCGAGCTCCGAGCAGCGTCAGATGATGCACAGGGTGTGCGAAATTCGCCGCATTTGCAGGGACTATGACGCAAGAAGATTCCGCGGCCTTTGAGTTCATGGCGTGTTGTGAATGTGACATTTGTCATGAGCCGTTGAAGCTCAGATGTGAATGAAAGGTTCAATCAGTGGTCCTCTCCACCTGGCTTGAGCGAAAATGAGATGCGCAAGCGCATGAAGATGGTTTCAGTGTCTTTTGGCGGGGCCTCTTCAAGTGTATCATCAGTTCAGTTGCGCCAAAGCGACAGCAAAGGAGTCTCAGTGACTCTGCGCACCACTCGTTCTTCACTGTACCAGTGCAAGTGCAGCTCACTTGATGGTCAAGCTGGGCATGGCGCTGGTTGACGAAGGTAGACAGTGAAGGACCGACGCCCTAGAACCACTCACATCTTCATAAGGAGCTTGAAAACCAAAAAGCCACAAGCATCAGCGCGGTTTTTGAACGCAGGAAACCCTGTTTTCATTCAAAGGACTCATCATGGAGCGCCTTGAATGAGATTTTGGTTGTGTCATGTTCTCACCCGCGCTCTGTACAGGTTTCAGAAAGCAGGAAGTATTTAGAAATGCGGAAGAGTAAAGTGGTCATTACGTGGGTTCCATGTAAGCGGTCAGAGTTTCACATGTGTAAGTTCGGGCCCTTGTTCCACTGCAGGTCCGCCTGCCTTCCAGCCATCCTCCTCACAGCTTCTGGCAGGGTCTGGGAAACAATTCCTAAAAAGAACCGGTTCCGAGCACCCTGGAAAAACGATCTTTCTGCGGCAGAAAAAGGAGAAAATAGTATGAACATAGTGTAACTTGTTACAGAAGAAAAACGCAGTATTTCACGTGCAAACCGCAGCAGTGTTTCACCTTTTGCGTGCACTTTAGGTCTTTGGTGCTTGGTCATCCGCCTTTGAGTCGTTCCACAATGGGGTTTCGCTCAAGCTGGCAGACAGCCAAGGTCACAACGCGAACAAAGCAACTATCTCAATGGCAGTCCTAGCCGTAGCCACTGCCCTTGCATTTTCCTTTGCAACACTAAAGCACCAAGAACCTTTCTTTGGTTCAGTGTCATGTTAACCAGGCAGTATAACTCTAATGGTTTTGTCCAATAAAGAGCGCCAAAAAAGTAACGAAGTGCAAAAGCAAAAAATGCAAATCCAGAAACCAAAAGCAAGCACTTGAAACAGCGAAAACACAAAAACCGACAAATCCATAAAGCAAAAAACATGCACATGAAAAAGCAAAAGCCAAAAAATCAAGCAAACCTAAAAAGCAAATGAAAAGCAGAAAAGCAAATGAAACAGCAAAAGACAAAAAAGAGCAATGAGAACGCAAAAACAAATAGAATACAAAGCAATAAAATGGCACATGAAAAGGCCAAAGCAAAAAATGCAAACCAAAGAACAAAGTACACATGCAAAACAACAAAGCAAGCCTATAGTCACTTGCAGACAACACTCCAAAAAACTAATGAACCGCAACAAATGAACAAGCCATAACAGCAAAGAAGAAAATTCAAAATGCAAAAGCAAATGATCAAGCAAACGAGCAAACAAGCGAAAAAAATATGATAGACAGAGAGAGAGGGAGCCTTTCAATTGAAAAATCGCGCCATGTTAGCCACAATGAAACACAACGACAATAGTAGAATAGACTAGAGTCGATTTTAGATTGTCACAGATTCTTAGATATACAGATCTGATCAAAAAAGGATT